CTCAACATACTACCACAGCGTGTTGCAGATTTCTCTCACAGCCCGCTTGATGTTTCCCTTTGAGGTGCTTTCCTTAAGTAATCTGGCTTGCGGAACAGTTCTTTGTTTTCAAACGTGCTTTGGGAGCAATCAAACCTTTCGCTTCCTTCCGCTTACGGAACCGCTTTGGGACGCCCCAGCGACGCGCGCTGAAATCAGATTTCAGTTTTCAAGATACTGGGGAGTGCAGGGAGAGCAGAGCTGGAGGAGGAAGGCAGGACCCGAGTCGTGCCCTGGCTGGGCAGGTTTGTGACACGGGGACATTGTCCGTGCACTACTGTAACGGGTGAAGCTTCTGGAGTCTTTTTCTCTTGCCTCTTTCTGCAGATCTTACCCTTTGATTGGGATCAGGCGCACCTTCTCTGCCTCTGGTGCTGCATTTCCCCTCAGCACCTTTATTCTCACCGTTCTTGCTGATTAAGGAATTCCTTACGGATGTTTTTCACAGCTCACGGCTCTGGTGCTTCAGCCAGGGCATAAAGACAGGATGGCTTGAAACCCACAGTGGGTTTCACGTTGTGCGGCAGAGCACTGGCCCAACTGGACTAATCCTTTCCAAAAAGCTCAATTCAACACGTCAGTATTTAGTGGGGTTTAACTTGGTATTTCCAAGGCTAAACATGACAAAGCAGAAGTGTGCCTTGAGGATCTTGTTCAATGATACCTGGTTGTAAAAGGACTTCTCTTTCTTTGTAGGAAACAAGGCTTGGGAGGCTCATCAATGAGGTGAGGAAGAAGACATCCAATGAGGAGCTTGCCAAACGTGCCAAGAAACTGCTGCGGAATTGGCAGAAGCTGATAGAACCTGTAACCCAGAGCGAAGCGGTGCCGCGGGGGCTGCCCAACCCGCCCGGCTCGGCGAACGGGGGCGCTCACAACTGCAAAGCAGAAGCGCAGCTTCCTGCCGTGCCTGGGTCGAAGCCCATCAGCGAGTTGAAAAGCAGGAATGATATCCAGAAACTAAACTCTCCCAAACCCGAGAAGTTAGGGAATCGGAAACGGAAAGGTGAACACAGGGACGGGCATCAGGGCCCTCCTCCCCCAAAAGTCTCCAAAGCTAGTCATGAAGTATTACAAAACTCTTCGCCCCCTCCAACCAATGGAATCGGGGGCAGTCCTGAGAATTTCCCTAGCCCTGTAGATGTAAACCTACACGCAGGGCCTGAAGGCAGTAGGACAGAACTCAGTGAAAACGATAAACACAATAAAATCCCAGTAAACGCTGTAAAACCTCACACCAGTTCTCCAGGACTTGTAAAACCTTCAAGCACTTCCTCGTTATTAAAGACTGCAGTGCTTCAGCAGCATGATAAATCGGAAGAAGCCACAGGACCGCACCAGCCCAAGAGTCCTCGCTGTTCCTCCTTTAGCCCTAGAAATGTCAGGCATGATGCTTTTGCTCGGCAGCATACGACGTACTCACCAAAGGATTCGATGCCCAGTCCGTCTCAAAGGTCTCAGTTCTTAGACACTGCACAGGTGCCATCGCCACCACCATCCTTGATGCAACCTTCAACACCTCCCTTGCCAGCGAAAAGACTGGAGTTCTCTCAGCAGGCGGTAGCTGAGGTGTCTCAGCACTGGCCGGAGCAGCAGGTACCTTCGGAAAGCCAGCACAGGCACCCAGCAGGGACCCTCCAACAGCACACAGCTCCCAGCTGCAAAACCAGCTCCCAGCCTGGGGAATCTCTCACGCCACACACAGGCTTTTCACAGGACACTTCCAAAATGGACAGCGATGATGCTGCTTCGGGTTCCGATAGCAAAAAGAAGAAAAGGTACCGACCCAGAGACTATACTGTCAACTTGGATGGGCACGTGACAGAAGGGGGTGTGAAACCGGTGAGGTTAAAAGAGAGAAAGCTCACTTTTGATCCCATGACAGGACAGATAAAACCTTTGACACAGAAAGATCCTTTGCAGGTAGAAATCCCCGCGCTTACCGAGCAGCACAGGACAGACACGGAAAAGCAGGAGCAAAAACCCAACCTGCAAAGCCCTTTTGAACAAACGAACTGGAAAGAGTTGTCCAGAAACGAAATCATTCAGTCATATTTAAACAGACAGAGTAGCTTGCTGTCTTCATCAGGAGTACAGACTCCAGGAGCTCACTACTTCATGTCTGAGTATTTAAAGCAGGAGGAAAGCACTAGAAAAGAGGCTAGAAAGACTCATGTTCTAGCTCCTAACAGCAAACCTACAGACTTGCCTGGGGTCACAAGGGAGGTCACAAGTGATGACCTCGACAGAATATGTGAACATCACTGGCCAGGCGTGAACGGTTGTTACGACACACAGGGTAACTGGTATGATTGGACACAGTGCATATCTTTAGATCCACACGGGGATGATGGTAGATTGAACATCCTGCCTTACGTCTGCCTAGACTGAGTTCCAGGTTTGCTAAACACAATGCTTGTTACATCTGCAGTTAGCAAAACCGGCAGGCGCGATGCCACTTCCACATGGAGAAAGCTCCTGTCCTGGACAACCAGGCCCAACGAGCAGAGGGTGGGAGGGAGCTGGCTCGCTCCAGCTCTGTCCTTTCAATTCTCCTTTTGTGAAATGCTGCTACCAGTTTACTAACAATTGCAAAGGAAGGCATACGAAGGTTGATCCATTGAGTTCCAAACTCCTTATAGCAAGCCAGCTATAAAAAAAGTGTTAGTCCCCGAGAAGGAAGAGGATTTCCAGCACTTTCTGAATGCCGGAATCTGATTACAGGCAGGTACAGAGAAAATTGTGGAAGTTACCTTAACAAAAATATGCATCTATTTATTTGACTTGATTTGGGGTTTTATTTGGCAGTGAGATATTGGAGAGACAATGTGCAAACCCTGTAGTTTTATTTGTCACATCTCTGAACATGATTGCGTTTTGGGGGGGGGGCGGGGGGGGGTTTGGTTTTTCCAAGTCATGTGGTACGGAGATTGGGTTTTAAACAGCCGGTGTTGCACTGCAGGCTGGGAGCCCAGCTTCAGCTCAACATTCCATAGGCATCCACATATTTTAGTCTGGTTTCAGTTTAAATCCAGTCTCTGAGAAATGCTGCAAAAAAAAAAAAACAAAACAAAACAACCTAGATGTTGAATGATATTTTTGATCCCACCACCTCCAGCCAAATATTTTTCCTCCTTTTCCCTTCCTGCAAACTTCCAGGAAAAAGAGAAAAAAAAAACACAAAAAAAGCAAAAAAAAAAAATTAAAAAAATTAACAAAAATCACCTTTTCTAGAACCTAAATGTAATGAGGGTGCTACAAGTTTGTAACTGTACTGTGAGAGGGAAAAAGGAAGCCTGTTTGTATGCTGGAAATATACTTGTTACCATTCCTTTAGATATTGTTTGCCTTATGGATATCCATCATAAACGCAATTTGCAAAAACAAAGAGCCTTAGTGAATGTACAGTAACCAGACTTCTGTGTTCCTGGGATGCAGAAGGGAGCAACTTTGCTATTTGGTCCTTTAAGTGGACACATTGTGATATAAATGTGGAAATAAAGAAAATTTGCACAAACCACTTTGTGGATTCTTGATGCTCAGCTTTTGGTTTTCCGCCAGTTGTGAGCGGCGCTGAGGAGCTCTTGGAGCGGTGGGATGGATGGATGGATGGATGGATGGGTGGATGGATGGATGGATGGAACCCCAGGTGACACTGCCAGGGGTGGGCCTGGTGTCTTTCGTGGCTGATGGTGGTGTTCAATCACACAGGTTCAACAGAGGTTTATAAGCTCTTGTTGCACCCATGAGACTGAGAACCTGACTGCTTCATGGTCAGCTTTTTCTCCTCATAGTTTTTAATGGGTTATTCCTACTTGTTAGAATGATTTTTGAAGCGGCCCTGGCTTGGTACAGAAAGCACTGTTAACTGTGACTGCTTTAATAGGGTACTGTTTGTGTGCTGCAGTCAGACAGGGAGGCAGTCCTGCACCAAAAGTACCCTTGGTTGAGCGCTGTTCTAACTCCGTTATCCCGCTGGTGCTGGATCCCACTGCTGTGGACAGGAGCTCTGCCAAGACTCCCAGAGCAGTCAGGCTCCTGCCTGGTTTCCTTGCTGGGTGTGTGTGAAGCTGGGTCGCTCTCTGGAACACAGCTGACAAGGTTTGTGTCTCTTCTCTTGTTCAAACCTACTTTTGCGACCTGACCGTGCTGAGATGTGTGGCTCTCAGAAACGCTGATGTTTTGTCTGCTTCCACTTCTGAAATGGGAGGGTTTGAGAGCAAAACCAGACGCAGCAGTTACCAAAGGGGTGTTTCCATGTGTTTTCGGTTTCCTTCCAGTGTCCTCCTGCAGCTGATGGGGTGGTTTAGAGCTGTCCCGGAGGTGGATTGGACGGCAGAGGGTTCAAAAGTTGGCCCCTTTTGGGAAGTGTAAAAACTGCATCTTGTTCCTCCTGCCTCCTCCTCTGAATGGCCCTGCTGAGGAGCACGGTCCTGCTCTGCTGCGTCTTTTCCTCCCCTCCTCCCTGCTGCAAGCCATGGCCCTTGCAGGGCAACTCCCTCGGGTGTCATCCATGGCGAGCTGCGGCTGAGACAATCCCTGTCCAGCCCTGACCACACAGGGTGAGCTCCAGGGGGCCGTGGCCGAGGTTACCGGGCGCTGCTTTAGTTCTGTAAGCGACTTCCGGTGAGGTTCCCCCCGTGCGTGCTCGGTTCCCTGCCCCTGACTCGCACAAGCTGTAACTCGGTGTCCTGCCCTCTCCTGCCGGCGGCTGCCGCCGTTACCTGCGGTGCAGACGGGGCTCGTTACAGACCCTGCGGTCTGTAACCCCCCACGGACGTGGTTTTGAAGCCCGCGGTCCCCGGTCCGTGCCCGTTCCGCTTCCACGCTGGGGCCGCCGCCGAGCGCCGAGGCCGCCCCGGGACCCGGCGGGAGGCGCCGCGTCGGAAGTGACGTAACCCCGGCCCCGCCCCGGGAAGCGACGCGTTGGCGGCGGTGACGTTCCGGCGGGGCGCGGAGCCATGGCGGCCCCGCTGGCGGCTCCGGGGGGCACCGGGGCGGCGGCGGCTCCGGGTCCGGGTCCGGGTCCGGGTCCGGGGCGGGGGGGGCGCGGGCCGGCGCTGCGGGAGGGGGCGCGGGTGTCGGCGCTGTGCCTGGCCTGGTACGGGCTGAGCGCGGGCGGGAACGTGGTGAACAAGCTGCTGCTCGGCGGCTTCCCGCGGCCCGTCACCGTCTCCTTGTTCCACATCCTGGGGCTCTGCGGGCTCCTGCCGCCGCTGCTGCGCGCATGGCGGGTGCCGCCCGCCGGCCCGGCCCAGCTGCCGCCCCGCGCGTACCCCCGCTACATCCTGCCGCTCGCCTTCGGCAAGTACTTCGCGTCCGTGTCCGCGCACGTCTCGCTATGGAGGGTCCCGGTCTCCTACGCGCACACAGGTGAGGGCCGGGGCGGGGGGGGGGGGGGTGTCCCGGTGCCAGCTGTGCTCATATGGGGGCCCGGGGCGGTGTTCTGAAGGCCTGGATCCGTGTGCCTGGAGTGTCCGGTGCGGTGACCCAAAGGCCTGGATCCGTGTGCTTGGAGTGTCCGGTGCGGTGACCCAAAGGCCTGGATCCGTGTGCTTGGAGTGCCCGGTGCAGTGACCCAAAGGCCTGGATCTGTGTGCCTGCAGTGCCCGGTGCAGTGTTCTGAAGGCCTGGATCTGTGTGCCTGCAGTGCCCGGTGCAGTGTTCTGAAGGCCTGGATCCGTGTGCCTGCAGTGCCCGGTGCAGTGTTCTGAAGGCCTGGATCCGTGTGCCCGGAGTGCCCGGTGCGGTGTTCTGAAGGCCTGGATCCATGTGCCCGCAGTGCCCGGTGCGGTGACCCAAAGGCCTGGATCTGTGTGCTTGGAGTGCCCGGTGCAGTGACCCAAAGGCCTGGATCCGTGTGCTTGGAGTGCCCGGTGCAGTGACCCAGAGCACCAGGAACCAGCCAGCGAGTGCCTGGCACAGCGGCAGGAGGAAGACCCCGCTGAGGTTGTGGCTTCAGTGGACCTGGACCGAGGCCCTCCTCCATCCCCAGTGCACCCCCTCCACTGAGGGGGGTTGCTGGAGTTGGCCCGAGGTTCACATCCCCACCAGTGTTCTCTTTCCGTCCCCAGTCAAAGCGACAATGCCGATCTGGGTGGTTCTTCTGTCGCGGATCATTATGAAGGAGAAGCAGACAACGAAGGTGCGGGCAGGTTTGCTGTGGGTCCTTCTCCTGGTGGTGCTTGTGGTGTGCTCTGCTGGCTGGGATCGGGAAAGGGGTGATTGAAATGAGAGAAACGACATTTGCCATTCAAAATAAGTTGTGGGAGCCATCTCTAGAGTCAGGGTTTGGGTTAGAAGGGACCTTAAAGCTCCTCCAGCTCCAACCCCTTCCACTAGAGCAGCTTGCTTCAAGCCCCTGTGTCCAACCTGGCCTTGAACACTGCCAGGGATGGGGCAGCCACAGCTTCTCTGGGCACCCTGTGCCAGTGCCTCAGCACCCTCACAGGGCAGGAATTCCTTGAATTCCAGTAGTATAAAAGTTGACCCCTGGTTCTGTTGCTTTATTCTTCCTTCTCCTTTCCTCCCCACGTCAGCATTCCGTATAAACTCAGTGGCAATGAAAGGTGCTCCTCTCTGTTCCTCTTCCAGGTGTACTTGTCTCTGATCCCCATAATAACCGGTGTCCTGTTGGCCACCGTCACGGAGCTTTCCTTTGACATGTGGGGGCTCATCAGCGCGCTTGCGGCTACGCTGTGTTTCTCACTTCAGAACATCTTCTCGAAGAAGGTGAGGGTTTTGCTGTTCATCACATGGGGCAGCAGCCTGTAGCAGGACGGAATGAGTGCATTTTCCAGTCCATATATCCTCTTAAGTTAACTCTGCAGTCGAAGGAGCCCCAGCTAACAGCTGTTTTGTCTGCCTGTTCTCTACAGCTCTGTAGAACCTGTTGAAGATGTTGCACTGAAAATAAGGCAGAACTCATTGTTCCCTGAGCCCTTCCTTTAATCCATGTTTGGTTTTCTTTAGTAATCCTTATAGAAAACTCCTACTGTAACAGTATTTAATTATTTTCAGCATTTATCTGTCATTTAAAGCTGTCACTGTTACCTGGTTCCTGAATCTCTGCTGATAACATGGGTGGTAGCTGAGGAAAGGCTAACATCATGTTTAATGGTGGTTTTTGTTAGGTGTTAAGAGACTCCCGAATACATCATCTTCGGTTGCTGAACATACTCGGGTGCCATGCTGTGTTCTTCATGATCCCAACGTGGGTTTTGGTAGATCTTTCTTCCTTCTTAGTGGAGAATGACTTGGTAAGTGTTGTGTTTGGGAAACTGTTCCCTATTAAGAAAGAAAAGAGGAAAAGAAAACAAAACTAACACACACCATCGCTCAGCCAGACAAAGTGCCCTTAAGTGTTCCAGTGTAGTTCCTCCTCTGTGTGGAAGGAACTGTTGTGAAACGCTTGTAAACTGTTTCACCAAAGAGTATTAGAAAATCCATTGTAAGAATTCACATCAGGGTTAGAGGCAGCTTACGTTGTGATGTAAATCTCAGGAATCAGTAGCTGGAGAGAGGAACAAATGCACCTGAGTGGGTGTCACAGGGATGTGGAGAGGTTCTTGCGAAGTCAGGAGCTGTGTAATGTAACATACTTGGGTGCCTCTTTAGAGTTAAGTTGCAGACATTCTTCTGTCAGTGGCAAGTAAGAAATGACTCAAGTTGTATTTGTGTTTCTTCGTCTCTTATCTGCAACCTGAGATAATTTTTTCCCTTGTGATGTTTGTCTTTACAACAGAGTACGATGTCTCACTGGTCCTGGACCTTGATGCTGCTTATTATCAGTGGATTCTGTAACTTTGCCCAGAATGTCATTGCCTTCAGTATCCTGAACCTGATCAGCCCGCTAAGTTACTCGGTCGCAAATGCCACCAAACGAATCATGGTCATCACAGTGTCCCTTATAATGCTTCGCAATCCGGTTACGAGCACCAACGTCCTTGGGATGATGACAGCCATCCTGGGGGTCTTCTTGTATAACAAGGTAAGGGGGTTTATTCAGGAAACTCACTTGACGCAGTCCAGTAGCTTCACATTCTTTTTTTGTACCACAAGGAGCTTGCTAGCAGAACAAACACACAGAATGCATGGTATAAAACTTCATTGCAAGGAGGTCTGTGTGTCACCAATGCAAAGTGTGCGGGTGTTTGGGTGAGGCCAGCTGCCAAGCCCCTCACAATGTGACTTTTGATCTTCGGATTCTCCTGACAAATGAAGATTGGGAAGTAACATACTCCAGGCTCTTCAGCAAAAGAGCAGCTTACTGATTTGGCTTGTGAGAGGAATGAGGGTTTTGTTAGAAGTCACTAGTAGACCCTTAGCAGGGATAGACAGTAGTGTAATTGTAAAACCAGATGCTTCCTGCTAGGTGTATGAATGTGTTAGGTGGTATCTGAGAAAAACATTCCTTCTTTCTTTTGCAGACCAAGTACGATGCAAACCAAGAGGCAAAGAAGCAGTTACTTCCAGTTACAACTGGAGACCTTGTGAACCTAGACCGGCATCGGAACACTCCCGAGAAGTCTCAGAACGGACTTACTGCATTTGCACCACACGGAGACTATCAGTATGGTCGAACCAATATCCTAACAGACCACTTCCAGTATAGCCGGCAAAACTATCCAACCACGTACAACTTAAATCGGTTTGATATATAGAGTCCTGGCAAACAGGTACAGACTGTGATATCAGAGTGTCCCCAGCATTATCAGAAACTTTTTAGTACATCCATGAATGTAAAGCCATTTTATTGTACAGGTTTTGCAGAAGGGAAGATGCATGTGTAGTGAAAGTGGTACAGACCTTCAACTTCTGCTGAGCAGAGCTTGGACATGAAACAGCTCCATCTGACACTGGAACTAAACACGCGGTGTAGCTCTTGTACAGAGATCCTGGTGAATGCGCGTACGTAACTTCAGAGTAAAATACCTGCTGTTGCTGCTCCTTTTCAGAGTCTGTCAACTGATGATTCTTTTGGCAGCTGAATTCTGGCCAGTATTTTCTTTCCATGCTGGTAACGTCACCTTTGATTTGTTCTCTGATATGTTTTAGTGATGCTTTTAATGAAACTTTCAAAAAGAAGTGGAACTTCTGGTTAGCAGGATTTGTCTCTTTGAGGAGGATCGACTCGGTTGCAGGTAGGGTAGGCCTGAATTCATCTTGAGCAACTACCAAACTTAATGAGGGTATTAACTACTCCTGCACCTCTGCCTTCTGCTTTTGACGGTGAACCAGAAGTGTTTCTGAAAGAGCTGGCAGTAGAATGATTGATCTCTTCAGAAAGCAGGCTTGAGGCACAGAGAAACACAGTTCTCTAAAATCACGGTTGTCCCACTCACTGTAGATAACAAACAGAGCTTAAATTCATCATTGTTTCCTGAATAATGTCATCCTGTAACTTCAGAACTTGCTCTTGGCAATACAGAAAATGCCTTCACAAATAAAGTGTTTGGAATAAGATGATTTATTTTTTTAATTGCTTCATACCTGCTCTTACAAAACTCCTTTGTTGCTTTAGAAATTGAAAGGTTTAAGGTGTTTTCTTCAGGAATTATGTTCTCTTATATGCTTCATATATTATGAATGCATTCATTTGAATCATCATTTGAATTGTTTCTCAAGTCTATTTTTTTAGCCCCTGATTGTTAAGTTCCTTAACTACTGCTGTTGGAGTTGCTGTGTGCATTTAGCCTGACTTCCATTTTCCACTGAAAGAAGTTAAAGTGTGTGTTCTGCAACTCCCCTAGCTCAGATAGTAACTTATTAAGAAAAAAGTATTTAAATCAGCATTAAAGAGTTAATTTATGGTTAGGAAGAACTGATTCAGTTAGTAGAAATGAATTAATTCTAGACAAGTTGATTGTTGTGTGTCAGGTACTGCATTTGTGCATGAAAGGAATGAAAGCAGGTGACTTGGGTTTCACTTCATCAGGCTGGTACTGTTAGTACTTTAGCAAAAGAAGATTTTAGGGTCTTCTGATCAGAAAAGCTGTTGTACAGTGAGAGCTTTGATAGAATTAAGTACTATGTTTGTACTAGAGAGGTGTTAGACACCAGTGGCAAAATCTAGGGTGTTGTACAGAGCACTCCATCTATTTATTGCTTTAAAAACTTTCATGATGTAAGATGATGATTTGGCTCCTTTCTGGATAATAAAGAATTTATTTTTAAGTGCAGAGTCAACCTGATCTTATTCTTTTGGCTGACTGTGGTAATTATGGAACCTGCCTTCCACCACACAGGCCAAAAGAGGAAATGGTCCTTTCTGAAACATCAGAGGCGGGTTAATATGCTGCTAGTGTTTGTGAGCAGAACCTCCTTGACTCGATTGGTGTTGAATCTGTTCATGTGAGCTTAGAACTTGGGCTTTTAGTTTAGGAAATCAAAATGAACTATTACCTAACCCAGGTTAACAAGGACAGGATAATGAGGAAAAGAATTCTTACAGATTAAACTTCTTTTGCCTGTTCCAGTATTAATTTCTATATAATGACTTCTTTTTAATAAGGGGAAGTGCAAAATGTGTCTTTCTAAGGCTTACCTCCCAATATTTAAGTGCTTTTGCATAAGTGCAAAAAGGATTGTATGGACTCAGAGTTTGGATTTGGTTCTGGCTCTGCAAAAGACTGATTTGAGGACAAGATATTTAGGCTGAGGTTTTTAAGAGAGGCTGAAGTTCTCCAACTGCTTGCAAAGGGTGCGAGCTGTAAACTACTGAACTCCTGCAGACACTTAACTGTCTTCTTTGTGCCTCAGTTTCGCGTTTGGAAAGTGGAGATGGTTCTTCCCTCCTTCACAGTGGGGTGAAATACCAGAAGCAAGCAGCGGTGGGGGGGTCCCAGGGATATACAGGCACCCTCTAAGTTCATCTGTGCATTTTCTGGTATGTCTGTTGCTGTACTGCCTTCAGACAACTTGAATTGTTAGATGGAATAAAGCTCCGTGTACTTTATTCACGGAGCAGAGGCTTTGTTAAATACATTTAGGTGACTTCCTGTTGAAAGAACATAACCAGATCCTTTTTGCAACAGAAAAAGAGAAAGCTTGTACCCACTGCACATGCGGGGCAAAAAGGGACTGACCCAAAATGAAGGTACTATCTGTTTAAGGCCTGGAGAGTGAATCTTCCCTGGAGCTTGCCTGACAGGGTGCACGCTCTTCTAGTCCGGGTCTGTGGTCAACAGGGATCATTTTGGGTAGAGGAACATGTAATTAAAACAGTTATGTGAATGGGTTACAAGAGGTGGTTTCGCTGCGTACCTCAGTCCAAGTCCTTAAGCAATACTGCCCACATCCAGGTGAAGGAAGTTTCTGATAACATTCTGATATGTTGTGATATATCTTTTAATCCTGGCCCGCTGTGAGATTTTGTATGGCAAGGTGGAATGGTTTTAACATGGTTTGTAAATTAATGGCGTATTTAACTCTGTACATAGGTCTAGAAAGTATGGAAACACTGGACTAAAAAGGGTCTATCTAGACAGTGGTGTATAATGACCCTGTTATTAAGTCAAGGTGAAGGGGGTTGGCTTGGGTGTTTCACTTGCAGGAAGCTTTGGGAGTGCCAAATAGTGGTGGTAATGGATGTCTCACGAGGAATCAGATTAATGTCATGTTGTACCAGTGTGATCCATTACCAGATGGTTCCTTAGGCTTGAAACTGCCATGACTTGGATGCCGTATCTAGGACACTAGTCACCGGTCCGTATCATTAGAAATGGTTTCATTTCCATGATGAATCCCTAACGTACGTGTAAATACATTGCAAAAGTGCGAAATTCTTCCCAACCTGGACAGTTGTAGAAATGCCAGTGTGAAAGAAACCGATGTCTCCCTTCTCCTTCTGGGTTTGCTGTTGTAAGTACTTGGTGCTCATTCGAGACGTCTTCACACCATTTCCCTCACCGGTTCTGCTTTAATACCCAGTAGTGCTGAGAGAGTCTTTATCACCTGGTAAAACGCTTGTGGTTTTAGTGCTAACTAAAACTGAGGCGACAGCTTTGTAGGTGGATGGTGATTTGTAACAACAGCGCTGGTCACGGTTCCTGATCCTCAGTGACACTTTTTGTTTCCGCTCTTGTTCGACCCCGCGTTTCTGATGTAGCGTTTTTGCAGACGAACCTCTTTGTGAAAAAGGTGCAATGTAAATAAAGGGAAGGTTTTGTTTTTCTAACCACGGTGTCATTTTTAGCAGCGGTCTTCAAGGTCTTTTCCGACCTCCTTGATTCTTTGTCCTCGGGGGGATAAGCAGGTAAAACGCTGAGGGGCGGCTGGAGGATGCGGTCGCGTTATGTGGATGTGCAGGTGGCGCAGCCACCCGTCCTTTGGTTTATTGTTGTTTAAGGCTTAAATACGGCTGCAATGGGCTTTCCCTCGGCGTAAAGGACACGTTTAATGCCCGCGGCCTGAGCCGCTCCTCCCGCCGCGGCCGCCCCTGTGTGTGTGTGGGGGGGAACGGCCGTACGTGCGCCTCACGGCACCGCGCCGCGCCGTTTCCATAGCGCCGGGGCCGTAAAGCGCGGCCGCGCGTACCGCCTGGCGCTTCGCGACACTTCCGGCCGGCGCGGCCTAGCGGCGGTGGCGGTCCGGCGGCGCCCCGTTGTCCCGCAGCCATGGAGATGCCGCTGCCGCCCGACGGTGAGCGCGGTCCCGGGGTGGGGGAGCGGGGAAGGGAACGGGGCCGCGGCGGGGGCTGACGGAGCTGTGTCCCCACAGACCAGGAGCTGCGGAATGTCATCGACAAGCTGGCGCAGTTCGTGGCGCGGAACGGGCCCGAGTTCGAGAAGATGACGATGGAGAAGCAGAAGGAGAACCCCAAATTCTCCTTCCTCTTCGGGGGCGACTTCTACGGTTACTACAAGTACAAGCTGGCCCTGGAGCAGCAGCAGCGTGAGTGGGGGCCGCGGCGGGCTCGGCTCCCCCGGTGCCCGGCCCCGGCCGGTGGAGCCGCTTTGTGCCCTCCCCGGCCTCGCTGTGCCTCGCAGCCGCGTCCCCTCCTCTGAGCGCCGTGAGGGCGGTTGGCTGAGCCCTGCTCGCGGCTCCCGGCGCCCCCCGCCTGCGCTGCGGGCCTGGCCGGCCGCGGGCCCCGGCTGCGCGGAGAGTTCAGCGCCCGCAGGGCCCTCGAGAGCCGGGTGTTCAGCGCAGCAGCGCCGGGGGCTGCTCGTGTGTTGGAGTCGTTCCCCTCGCAGCGCCCGAGGAGTTGCTGACGCTCCTGCACTGTCCACCCTCAACTGCACGGTTCTTATTTTGCCTTAAGCAGTTACGTAAAGAGCAAGGGTCTGTTTGGGAACCATCGCGGTTTTCACGTGGGCTGGTGGTAGCAGGTTTCTCTGCGAGGGTTGCTTTACAAGTTTACTTTGTCTGATAGTGTTGTGCAAGCAAAGTCAAGATATCGAGGCCACCGCGCAGATCCAGCCGCTGCCACAGCCATCTCTCCCACCGGCTGCACCTATCCCAGCTCCTCAGGGCACTCCTTCCGTGGAGGAGCTTATTCAGCAGAGCCAGTGGAACCTGCAGCAGCAGGAGCAGCATCTCCTTGCGATGAGACAGGTTGGTTGAAGAGAAGCACTCTGTCCAGGACTGCCAGTGGCTGTAGAAATGAGGAGCAAAGGGGGAAAGGAAGGTTTCCTTCTGATTAGTGGTGGCTGCTTCATGTGTTTGGGGAGGAGAAGGAGCATTGCTTTGCTTATTTTTGTTGTGTGGCGGCTGCCATCGTCTCCTTGGAACAGATCTATCTTATGTACTAGCAAGATCCATCTTTGATTAAAGCAGTTTATTTACTGTACAGAAAACCGTGTTGGGTTTGCAAAGTGGAATCAATGGTGACTGCTTTAATCTTTGCTTAATGCTGCAGGTTGCTGGGAACAGCAGGATGTTCCAGCTCGGCATATTCTAAGGTGGATGCTGACGAGGGGTAGGAGGGGACTGCGTGCTTTGTACTAACAGGTTTTTGCAGGAGATGTTCTGCTGTTAAAACTGCAGGGTGGAAATGAACTGGACTTTTTCTGAAGAACGAGGAGAGTCTTTATTTCTTAAAACCAAATAACTGACACATTTATGGTTGTCTTTGAGCTTAGCTACATGTGGCTAAGAGGACAGTGACACAGCAGCATAGTTCTTGAAAAGCATATTGGATGGGAGATAATTCTGTCTTACTTTATCCTACTTTTTGTTTCAGGAACAAGTCACATCAGCAGTAGCTCTTGCAATTGAGCAACAAATGCAGAAAGTTCTGGAGGAAACCCAGTTAGATATGAATGAATTTGACAACTTGTTGCAGCCAATAATTGACACTTGTACAAAAGATGCAATCTCGGTAAGTGACCTACGTCTGAACAGTCACTGTGGTTGTGGATGAAGTGTAACATGAATTTAGAGGTTGTGTTGTTCATTGTTGTGTTGGGTGGTCAGTGAGATTACAGCTGTTCCTTGAAAACTTCCCTTATTTCAGAGTTCTAGGAGGTCTGGATGATATGACTGCATTCGATTAACTTACAGTATTTACATGTGCTTTTCAAAGGCTGGCAAGAACTGGATGTTCAGTAATGCCAAGTCTCCTGCACACTGCGAACTGATGGCTGGGCACCTGCGGAACCGCATCACGGCAGAAGGGGCTCACTTTGAGCTTCGGTTACATCTCATCTATTTAATCAATGATGTACTGCACCACTGGTAAGACTCAGATTGTGGGTTTCAGTTCGCTGTTGTGATGAATCTGGTGAAACTCTCTGTTAGGTTGGTAGTTTGACTAGTCACTAGTTATATTTCATTTTAGCAGCTGTTTTAAGATGTCCATAGCTGGCACAAAGACCTAGTGCTTAATAATGGAATTCAGCTTTTGTGTGTGTATTTTTCCTCCAGACAAGACTTTACAGTAAAAATGTAAAGGAGAGACCTCTCTATTTTATGAGTCTCCTACTTTTAGTACAGCAGGAGCTGAGACAAATTCAGTGTTACGATGCTCTGAGTGTTACAGTGAAAGGCAGTAACTCTTCTCTTCCCATTCCTTCTTTGAAGCCAGCGGAAGCAAGCACGAGATCTCCTGGCTGCTTTGCAGAAGGTTGTAGTGCCTATTTATTGTACAAGTTTCCTAGCAGTGGAGGAGGATAAGCAACAGAAAATTGCCAGGGTGAGTATCTGGGTTTGGTTTAACCATATGCTTTGCTTGGTTA